GTATATTACGTTGCTTTTCAATGCGAACTAATTGCAGAATGCCTGACATAATGCTGGTATCAGACCCTTCGTAAACAATTACCGACTGACCTGACACGTAATTTGATCATTTAGGATATCAAATGATTACAGTAATTAAAATCATTTATCAGGGGACAAAATTCACGTTGCATATTTGCTACGATGTGACTGTTTAACAAGATTTCCGTTCTCATTGCCGGTATACAATTACGAACGATCGGCTAGGAGGGTTGTCCCGGTTAGCCGATGCCGCGCCGACGAGAATAATTAGTTTTAATTGGCCCCTGAGAAACTTATCCCTTCCCCTGTTGACGCATTAAGACCAAAGTTAGACGGGCCACAGGAGGTTTAGGTTTTGCGAAGCGCGAGCAGGTAAGGTATACCACGTACTACGTGACACGCTTGGTAAACCCAAAGCTGGCTTTGTTAAGCTCGGATTCTGAGTGCCTTTGATACGTGTACTTGCACGCTAACTAACCAACCTAAGCTATCCGTGGTGAGCTCGCTCCCGTGTGCGTACATACCGTATGTTATACGCCTTTCTGTATCGCCCAAACCAGGGACGTCTAGTTGTTGGTTCTTATCTCCAAATTTCTCGCTACATCAAACGAACGAATAAACTTTGTGTAAATTTTCGAAATTCCTTCTTGCTTTCTGGTTATCTCCATACAAATTAACTTTAAAGTTTGACTACTTTTTCGTGGAACTTTTGTTATAAATAGTTTAGAAGACATTTTGTCTGTTTGACAAAGATTTTGTCTGTTTAGATTGTAAATATGGACATGTATAGTAGTGATTATTAGAATCACTCAATTTTCAGACAAACTTTCCGTCGAATATCATATATTAGTTTATTAATAATCCTGATCACTTGTTTTTTGTTTCTCGTGCTAATCGTCTTACCATTATAACACTCGACACGTTGATATTTTTAATAATTCATACTACGTTGTACGATTATTTTTACTTTAGCAGTTACAAGATGTACAATTCATGGTCATCGGCGAATCTAGTAGAAAACAACGCGTTAAAACAAACACGTAGGAACCCGGTAAATTCGTCGTCCCTGTCTTTTACCTATGTTACCCTCAGCATCGTCTATACGAGTATGACCTACACGTGCGCGATACATTTCCAACTGGGAATTGAATTTCCTTGGTAATTTTAATGCCATTGTGGCTGAAGGGGTGGAGAGAGGCACCGAGACAGAGGGTAACAAACCCAGCCACAGAGTGTGCATCCCCTAACCACCTCATAGAGGCGAAATTTAGTTGGAGACGAATACGATATCCTTGCCATTCCCGCGTGGTTCTCCGCTCGAAATCATTCGAGTGCTTGAAATTTAGACAGTACTTTGTTTACTCTCTCCGAACGCTCGAAAAATGCCGACAACTCTTTTAATACTACCACTATTTTTTTCTTTTACATGGAGTACTCTCTGAATGAACCTGCTTTGAAATTTAGACTATAAAGTATTTCTGATGTATTAAGAGGAGGATCCCTCAATCTCTACTGAATTACGTCAATTACAATCAGAAATTAAATTGTAACCTAATCGAGTAGGAAACATAGTAGTTGTATGAAGATAATTTGAAGTGAAAGAAAATAGCAGGATCGAGTATTTTTATTAAACTAGATACGATACTTTGATGGAGCTCTATTTCCGGTACTCTAGCAGGATCCGGAAAGCCACGGGACACAAAGCCAAAGCGCCGTAACCACTTAAGGAAGCTTTAGCCAAAGTTGCAACAGAATCTGCGTCGTAAGCGGATTTTCCCACCTCAAAGTGCCTTCCTGTTATATCTTTATAAATGGAACCACTCGGGACTGTACGGAAAAGCGACAGTCTCTATCACTCAGAGGATTTGCAACATTATGCCCTTATGGTTGGTCGTTCAAGATTTTCCAAATATCCTCTATAGGGTTGAAAATACTTAATTGACGATAAACTTATTTGATAGTCATTGGAATTATTGAATGTACATAAAATAAATAATGTTCCACTTGCTTTTGGAAAGTCATCTTCTTTCCTTCAAAGATGACAATGATGCATATTAAATGTAGCAACTAATATTTTAAATTACCAATTTAGACTATTAATTAGAATGCTTCTTTAATTACATGATCTTTTTTCTTAAAGTGATCAACCTCATAATTATTGTAAACTAATTAACTCAATGTACTGTAAATACACAAACTTTATTTTTAATATATTTTTTATGTTACTGTTCATTTTGAGAATGATACTATTAGCGACATCTAGACACGTCGTCCTGGAGATACGTAGCCCTTTTATCACTTTCGTATCGCACACGACATTATCGGTTCATATTAGAATAAGATCGCAACGCTACTGGTTACAAAATCGCTTATTTCCCAAAGAAAACTAAATTTTCCTATGGTTAATTTTGCTACTCATCACCAGGTGGTACTAATTGCACTGTTTACAAATCTGTGTGAAGTACTTTTGCTGCTACTATTCTCAATGTTTTAAAATTTTTTAAAATGCTGGAAAAAACAGCCACCACGGATAATAATCAATTATCCAAAGAAGATTATTTAATTATGCGTGCAAAAGATGCATTACCGAATGACATTTATGCAGCTAAATCCTGGCTAATTACTGCTAGGTCTTTATTCCCTCATAGTGCCAAAGTTCAGGTTAATATTGACTTACTATTTATGTTATTAATAAATTATTCGCGTTCAGTAATTAACTGTATCACCCTTTTTAACAGTTTGAAGCATATAGAATTGAAAAGCTTTCAAAAAATGTGAAGGAAGCAGCAAAATGTTTTAGCGAAATGTAAGTGTTTAAATTAACTTTGTAACTTAAGAAATGTATTTAAATATGAAGTGTTCATATATGTGTAAACATTTGTTTAAATATCAGAATAGATTTCAGAATTTTCCAGATGATCGAGATATATGGAAAGAGATAGAAACAGTAACAACTTGTCTGCGCATGGAACAATGTGATTCTGAAGCAGAATTTTTATGTCAAATGTTTCAACACATACCACAAGAATTGCAGCACAGATTACTTGTCATGACAGCTGATCACAGTGAGGATACAATGGAACATTGCAAATTACTGCTACTCCTACTGCGTAGGTTTCCTCAGACTATTGCTACTCATGGAGTAAGTATCTTTATTTAGCATATTTTATGATATTTATATTAGTTGTTTTGCTTCTTGGTAATGTTACATTTTCAGTCACGTTTAGTAGAAACTCTTCTCACTGCAGAAAAGCACAGTCATCCAGGACGTGCAGTGAATGGTTTCAGAAAACTTTTAGCTTGTGATGCATTACCCCTCCTTGGTACTGCACCTGTTGAATTAAATCCACGATTAAGTTTGAGATTACTTTGCAAAGCAGTAGAATTTTACTTGGCATACATACAACAACCTCAGGATAATCAAATTCAACATCCATGGGATAGGCTGTTTCAAGTAGTAGAATTAATTGGAAAGAAACTAGGGTGGGAACTTGGTAGTTTGTTTTCTATAGCTTGGAATCAGGAGATATATTGTGACAGACTGCATCAGTATGCAGTTGTACATGCAGCAAATTTATGCGAGGAATTAGTAGTTAGACAATTGTTGATGTGTACTATCGTAGTCCTATTACGGATATTGAATGAACATAATGCACTCATAAACAGTGATGATACCATGTACTGTTTAGTAGAAGCATTTGGAGAGTGTGTGCATTCACCTGCAGGTAAGGTGGTAATTGAATTTGTACTAGTCTCCTTGTTCTTATAACTATAATTACATTTATTGTACTACATTTAGAACCCAAATTAAAAAAACGTAAAAGAGAAGACAATGGTGGAATAGTGATAACTAGCGACGGGGATTACAGCGGTAATGGTTTAGCATTAGCCGTGAAATTATGGGATTTATTACATAGCAATGATTATTTGCAAAGAGAAATAGGAAAATTAAATCAGCAACTTCGATTAGATTCGTGGCTGAATTCATTTCTAACAGATTTAACTATGTATAAAGGTTTACATCATGAAGTATTAGCAAGATTATCTCAAGAAGCAGGTAGTTTATCTGCTCATCTTCGTTTAGCAAGTACATGTTTTTTCTTAAAAGATTATAAGGTATATTACGGATTTTCATGTTCTTACATGTTGTCTATCTTCTATGTAAAAGTAACCTTAAATGTATAATATTCTTTCAGGGAATGTTAGAATACATTGTTCTTGTAGTTAGTACATTGCCCTCAGTATGCGGGAAGGTATCTCATAATTTAACTGTTCCATGCGCACGACATTTACATTATTTAACTATTGCGCGTTTTCCTGTCATTCAGTATTGTTGCAGATTACTTCTTCTGGCGATGAAGGTAAGCTGTCGTTAAACGTGTGTCTATTTTAATTTCACATTTATAAGTATTGATTACCATAGGAAAATTTTTCTCTACCCGGTGGTGTTGGAGATTTGGCCATAGGGCATGTATTAGTATTAATGCAAATCGATTGGCCTCAGGAAGCTAGTACTTTATCTACGATTACAGAAAGAATAATCAACCGCGGATCATTTTCGTATCCATTATTTCAAGCATATATCATATGCGTAGATATTTTAGAAGAATTGACGTATCTCTGGACAGAACACGGAGGTGGTGTATCTCTAGATATAGCCTCAGGATCGGGAGTTTTACAAAGTATGTTACTACCGGGAGTTAAAAGTTGAAACTTAATATATAGATAATTTCACAAAAATATTATAGATCGACGTATAACTACTCGTGGAGCTGACAAAGGAGTACGCGAAGAAGTGAAACAAGCAATGCGCCGACAAGCAGCACGCGATGGAATCGATCCACTAGATGAATTGTTACAAAAGTTTATTATTAATGAAAAAGCCGCTATCCTACACAGTTTGATTATTCAATAAATGTTTATCTTATCTTTAATAACAAATTTAATATATAATTTTTTTATTTAAAAATATACACATGATTTTTTAAAGCCAACTTTAATATTTTATGTACACATATTAAAAGAACAAAATTCAATTAACAATTTGCGGGAACATATTAACGCGTTCTCTGCTCAAATATAGTTCTTCTATTTTTTACATGCTTTTTATATATATAACGAATTCTTTTAGTTGTACAGAGATAAGCCATTCTTAGATGTAGAATATATAAACTTTATGTTTTTTTCTTTATTGTATTATTAAACCATAAAGTTTATATATATAGATAGTTATGACTATTCATACTGCACTGAATATCGTGGAGAGTTGATTTAACATAAATATCTCGTTTAATAATGATGTTATGGGTTATAAAAATTTCAAATTATAAAAATGATTAAATGTAAATATTTCAGATTTCGTATATTGCATTCTATCTAATATAGACATTTAGTTGAAGGGCACTTAGCAATAATACTTTAATTCCGGGCATAAACGAAGAGATTTGACTGAAGTCTGGACCTGACACTAATTGTGTATGAAGATCTAAGCATCCGGTATAATTTCCGTTTTGTACCATTTGTGATATTTGATGCAATCCTTGTAAAGTGTTTTGCGATAACTGCAAAATATACATACATATATTTAATGCATATTAAAACTGGGAGTGACATAATACAAAAAGAAATCAAATGTTTACCTTGTTTTCTCTAAGACAATCATATAGGACTTCCAGTTTTTTAGATACATCTTCTATTTTTCTTTTGATTTGCTATAATAAAAAAGAGAGGTTATATATAATATAATAATGTATTTTATATTCATAAAAGACGACTGATCTTACTGGATTCTTTGCATTCTCAAAGCACTGATTTTTTAATTCATCGAATACTGTTTTTAAATGTTGATGTTGTTCTGGTATAGGTGGCTTTGGTTTTTCTGGTTCCGGTGCTCTGGCCACCGCGGCGGGTTGTACAGGTTCCATTGGTTTCAGAAACTGAGCTCCTACGTTTTGAACATTTTGTATATTCTGGGTATATTGTTGTGGATTGTAAGGTACTTGTGCATCAGGATAATATTTTTCTTGTTGCATCACCTAAAAATATAAATAAAAAGAAATAGATATTTGATGATTTTGTTAGAATTACTATTACTTACATTTGGTTCCGGTTGGGGCATCGCACCTCGCAAAGGATGCAAAATTGGATTCTGAGATTGGTAGTCCGGCTTTGACTGCACAAAATATTAAATCATTATGCTTAAGCATAATATGTTGTATTTCCAATCATAGCAATAAAATTAGCAATGTGTAGTATAATATAACGTTTGCACGACACCAGTTTTCGTTTGAAGCGATAGAAAATGTTCCTGTACTTCACACTGTAGTATTGGTTAATTTAAAATCACACGACACTGTAATGTTATCGTGACTGACTGAATAGAATTTTAACGTATAATATGAAGGGAATGAATACAGTCTGTTTAAAAATAAACAGCAATCGTGAAACGGTGAAAAACAACACTCAATCTCTTATAATTTTCTACCTTCGTATTCACATTCTTCGAATGTTTTTCTTTCCATTTCCTGGTACCAGCATGTTCCGCAGACATTTCATTTTTGTTGCATAATGCCAGTACCGGCTATATTATTTAAATGTACATATAAATATAAACTTGATAAATACTTCGTCAAAAATATCCCACGATACTAATTACCATTTTACAAATAATTTGTTCTAGATTAGTATATTAAAAGTATCAAGACATTTTACCTGCATTCTAGATTTTGCAGCTGGAGGATCGTTCCATCCAGCAGGTTGAGGTGGCAGCTGATAAGCGGGCGTCTGATCCACGGATTGCGATTGATTCTCGTTTCCATACAATGAAGTTTGTGGCAGCGGTTGGGTCTTAATTGGTTCGTACATTTGACTTTGTGGCGGATTCTGCATTGGCGTTAATACACTGGACTGGATCGGTTTAAAAGGCTCTGGTTCTTTTGGAGTAGTTCCAAAAGTTTGTCCAGGGTATACTGGGGGATTAAAAGGAGCTTGAGGCTGGTACACGTTCATCGTGGGGTAGCCTCGTACTGGAGGAACCTGTGGTTGGCTATTATACATTGATGTTTGCTGAGGAAAGCTAGATTGTCCATACGTCGAAGAAGATTTCACGGATGGATCTATCAAGTATTTTGATCTAGCTTGAGGTCCAACGCTAGATGGTCGAGATCCAATTCCACTTGATCCACTTGTAGGAGGTGGTGGCGGAGGTGGTTGAGACAAGGATGGTGGAGTGTAAGTACTAGGCGTTTGATCAAATTGCATAGATGGTACGTGTGGTTGAAGTGGAGATAATCCGAAAGGTTGTTGTTGCTGTTGAGTATTGAACTGATTTGGAGGTGGTACGAAAGGCTGTTTCACAGGGGCAACATTTGTATCAAAGAAAGGTCTTGCTTGTGTTGCAGCGTGTAATGGATTTTGAGCAGTTTGTACAGGTCTCCTTGTTCGATCGTAATAATTTTGCATTGCTGGAGCTTTTGGCATAACTTTTGACTCTTGAATGTAGCCCAAAGCTCTGCATAGACGATCTTTTAACATTATTATTTTTTCATCTTGACTGTTTCCAAGATAATTTAATGCAGCATCGAGATCTCCTTCCGCCGCTAACATTTCAGCATACTGAGATAAAACGTTTGCAATTTTCCCTTCTATTTGTAAGTCCCTGATACCCTGCGTTTCTAAGGCTTTTTGCATTATAACCACCAACTCGACTACTTCCTGAATTTCAACGTTGGCAGATTCGATCATTTTATTCAAATTACCAGAACAAATATAGCAGATCTGAGCTTGTTCTTTAAGCGTTGGATTATCTGATGTCGCTAACCGATCTCCAAGCATATCTATAACACACATAAAATTTGATTAGTAATTATGTCTTTTTAATGCAATTATTATGAAACTTGTTATGTAATTCATACCGCACAATGTAGATCGCTCTTGCGGATTAGCATGTGTAAATATTCCAATCAATACTTCTTTCCAGCAATTTATATCAGTACTTTCAATCACTTCAGCCCAATTTTCGCTAACTAATGAATTTATAAGAGAATTGAGGGCACCAGAGTGTTCTGAAAAGTATCTGTACTGGGTACGTGCTAACAAGTCAGGCCCAGCAGCCATTGAAAGTATGACTGCATCTGCGTACCTTTTATTTGCAAAACACAAAGACACGGCAGCTTCAATGTTCCCTAAGAGGATTGCTTGAGTTATAAGCCCATCCTCATCTGTAACGTAACAAATGAAAATATTAATTATTATTAACAGAATGAAAATTTAGAATTTTTATAAAATATATTATGAAATTACCATCCGATACATTTATTTGAAGGTTTTTATTTTTCAATATCGCTGCGGATGTTTTCTTGCTTTCCTGTGCGATGGCGTCAAACGCCGCGCTCCCATCAATAACATTTCCATTAGGTACCTAATTAAAAAATTTATAGTTTATATAAATTATATTTTATGATTTGTTTTAAAAAAGGTAATATGCAATGAAACGTACATTATTCAAATTACCGACACCTTCTGTGATACTGTCGATATCTTCTTGAGGTATGAACTGATTTAACTTGTTATTCATTGTTTCTATGTCATATCCCAATAAGTTCAATATGTCTTTTGTCACATTTTCACCGAAATATGCACCTACACAATTCCAGATCTTTTTCCTATGTACATCATCGGTTTGGTTGGCCTTGCCTTTGCAGTAATCACTGTATTGTTCACTTTTAAGAACTTCTTCCAATTCGTTCGAACGTTGAATTAAATCTGGTTGTGTGATTACTTGCGATATAATGACTTTTCTATTTGAATTTGGAGGTAGATTAGGATCTAACGGTTCATTCTCAAATATTGTTAATTTTCCACCAAACTAAAAAAAATTTACTACTTTTATAGAAAGTGTCATCGATTTAATACCACGATGCGATTTATATAGAAACTATTTTATTGTATAAAGCAAACATAAACACTTACTCCAAAGGATGCTCCAAATGGCCTTTTTAACCATTTTGGAGCCTTTGTCAATACTACTGCTGGTTCCGCTTGCACCGCTGAAGGCGGTTGTGTGAAAGGATCCATTCCAGGAAAAGAATCCACAATTTTGTTGGAGGTTTCTACAGACATTTGTGGTTGTCCTCCTAATAAAGAGTATACTGCTGCATGCCCATCAAAACTAGTTCCAACTACCAATCCTGGATGTCTCGGACACCATGAAACGTCGAAATTCCATTGATTTGTTTGTGCTAATTCACAAATCACTTCTCCATTCTATATAAAAAATAAATTACTTAGATTCATTCTTTAGTATGAAGCATTAGAATATCATTAGCAAACATACTGGTGCATCAGAATTAGGATTCCAACATAATATTCTGTTGTCTTTGGCACAGCTTAAAAGCAAGTCTGGATCATGTGGATTCCAGGCAATTGATAAAACTCCACGTTGATGATTTTGGAACATTTTTAAGGGTGATGTTGCAAACCTTAGATCCCATAATTCAATTACAGGAGCCTGATCATCCTCTGATGCTAGACACAACTGTGTTGGAACATCTGGATGCCATTGAACTACCTTCCATCTTACCTTTATTCATAAGAATAAAATGTAACATCTATATGTATTAAAAACAAGAATTAAATATATTAATATATATAAGTAAAATTACTTTAGAATTTGCATCTGTTAATTTGATTATAGGTTCATTTTTTCTTAAATCCCATATAACACAACGTTGTGAAAACGTGGAAGCAAGAATGTGTTGTACTATAAAGGAAAACAGAAATTAATTAATGTCAAAATATAAATATTGTAGTTTAACATAATTGTCATTATGAAACCTTGTTTGTTCCATGCAATGTGTTGCACATCTTCTAAAGGTTGACTTCTAGATCCAGGAGTCATTGGCGTAGTTGTATTGACAATATCCCATATATAAATTTCACTTTCTGTTGCACCTGTTGCTAATAAATTTGCTTGAAAAGGATTAAAGTCGAGTGCTCTGACTGGACCTGTGTGTCTATCTGGACTGCTTATCAAATTATTACTATCATTAGATAACATTTTGGCGGCTGAATAAATCTTTATCATGCCATAATCACAGCCTCCAACAATTATGCCAGCTGGATTGTTGCCATATGAACCCCATATTATTTTATGAAATCTGAAATTAAGATAGATATAAAACCTCATGAACTAATTAACAATATCTACATGAGTACAAGAAAATCTATTGACCTATGGTCACTTGCAACAGTAGCTTTTAATTCCAAATCATATCCTGGTTGTTGCAAATTCAAAGAATATAAATCCAAACTGGCAGATGTGTTAAAACTTGCATCTAGTTGCTGAGCTGCAGTTCCAGCAGCCAATAATATCGGATGTTGAGCTGGTGGTGACCATGCTACATTGACAGTTTTGAGCAATTCCTTCACCTTCATCCTTGGTACACTAAGAAATAAATTATTTATTTCACTTAAAAGAAACACGTCAGGAATTTTAGATTAAATAAAAAAATAATATATAGTGATGACATAATTTGTGTCCATTTACATGCTAGACTTTTATTAATGATCAAAACTATAATTAATAGTAATATAAAATTTTATGACAACATTAAAAATAAGTTTCAAGGTAAGTACATGGTGTCATATGTTCCTTGAAAGTATGCTTATCACAAGCACTAATATCTTTAAATGTGAATTTTGGAAAAAAAAGCTGTCTTTTAATAGTGTAAACTTTGTAATTGCGAGTGATAATATTGTAATTGTGTTGCTCTTGATTGAGAAGTTCAGCGACCTACTGCTATCAAATTGTAACACGTGTTACGTATATCTTATAGTGTATGTTGTAAGCAGGATAAAAAGTGCATTATTAGATCGATTAACATTTCCTCACCTTATTATATTCAATTAATAGTAACTAAGCAAAGCTTACAAAACACTGTCCCTAACGTCAAACAAGCAGTAGCCACCCGTCAACTTCTTCCAACGTGGCGAACCGTACGTTAGGAATGGTGCTGACCTCTTCGTTATTTCTGATACATTAAAACAAGGTCTGCTCAGATGATCCGTTCTCTTCAAGAAATAAGCCGAGAGAAAGAAGGAAAATGTTTCTCCCTCTCGGTATAATTGCTATTACGTATGTCTGATAATAATTACAGTATGTAAGTGAAGTTCATATTTGTCTCAAGTGAGATGCCGCCTGGATGATCTCATCATCAATGTTCCATTTAATTGGAATCATTCTTTTAAGCACAAGCATAAAGTTTACAAAAAAATTATGTGACAGGTTCGGCTAACCTATGTATACAAGAATGACACGTTACCATATATAGTAATTGATAGTGCGTAGTTATGACAATTAAGTTTACTATGTGTTTTTATATGGACATTCGAAATAAAAATCAATGACGAACAGGAGATTTTATGGATGTTTATTTAACTAATAATCATTACAAAATTTCGTTTATTTCACAAGTATTTATACATAGTTGTAGGGAATAAGGCTACGGATTACTTTGATACAGCACTGTCTTATTCATAGCGTCCTAACATCTTGGAGTTCATTCCAGTCGCCGGATCTACGGGAGTGTGAATGGAGTACCTTTTGTGTATTATCTTCGATTCGGCAGTATTATAACAGAATAGAACCATTACGAAATATAATTATTACAGTAAAATACTATTTTTTGTTAATAAATCGTGATATGAAAATTATAAAAGTTGGTTGATTGATACACGTTCGTTAACGAAATATACCTGGAATTATTTGGAGCACCTCGTGTGCTTTTCAGCTGACACTAATGCTGTGATTCAGGTAAATTATAAATTTAATGATTTTGATTTGCATTATTCTGACTTGCACATAAACAAGCCCATTGCGAGTTGGCATTATTTTGGGTTGAGAAAAAAGTTTTCTACTTTACCGCACGTTATACCGCCACTCGTTATATTACCCCGCGTTACATTGGTACACAGTATTAACTACTAATCATTACCCATTACACCGCTATTATCAAAGGAGACAACTTTTTGTCTAATTCAATACACTATTAATCCCAAGAATTTCTATTCTTCTGCATGAATTTTCTTGTAATAAATAACATAACAATAACCACTGGTTTCTGAAACTTTTTCCAGTTCAAGGTGGACGTTGGAACTTCTTATTTTCTCACGATGACCCGTGGTGAGAAACGTGCGATAACGGAAGTACGGCTTGAACGATAACGACTAATTACTCTATAATGAGATAAACCGAGAATATTGTAAAAATTAGTCAAATTCAACGAGGAACACGATGTGGCCACGATTGAGGAGACCATGTCGCGCATGGTTGATTGTCCTTTTAATCGTCCTGTTGATAGGAATATTTTTCGTTTGGCCATGGACAAGGCGAGGAGCTGAAGATTCTCGCGACGATTACGTTTCACTTCGGTAAGTGATCGTGAAAGCAAAAGTAATTTCTACGCTCGTTATTATATGTTGCATCAGTGAGTAAAGTAGATTCAGTGAAACCAGATGCACGAATAATTTATTAACCGTGTATTGATAAATCTTCTAAACACTTTTTTAGACTTTTAGATAATCAAAGAGATTACATTGACCGCAGAGGAGTACATGTGGTAGTGGGCCACTATATTGGAGATTCAGTGGACCCTTTAAAAGCCCCAAATATTACGAAAGGTATGTTACGAAAGAATAGATCATGTTGGTACATTTAGTCTGATGATGTTTTTCCTTTAGATCTTATTAACAAAAACATGTTTGATCCACGACCATTTGAGGGGAAGAATGGAAGTCCAGTTCTCGTTCCGGCAAAAGACTTTTATCAAATGCAACAGCTCTTTCAAATCAATCGTTTTAATTTGATGGCTAGTGATAGAATACCTTTGAATCGATCTCTACCCGATGTTAGACGCAAAGGGTAATGTTAGGTCGTTATTATTTCTACTGTCGGTAATATACGAACTGTAACTAGTTTATCGATTGCAGGTGCATTTCACGGTACGCGAATTTGAACGGTTTACCTAGAACATCGATAATTATAGTGTTCCATAACGAAGCTTGGAGTACATTACTGAGGACCGTGTACAGCGTTGTTAACAGATCACCAAGACATTTATTAGAGGAAATAATTCTAGTTGACGATGACAGCGATAGAGGTAAGAACGATGATTTATTTCTTGGGCATTTTACGTTTTATTACTTTCTATTTTTATGTTAGAGTTCTTAAAGGATGCATTGGATGAACATGTAAAGAGTTTACGAGTTCCCACCAAAGTTCTTCGGTCCAAAAAACGTATAGGTTTAGTGAATGCCAGACTCTTGGGGGCAAATGAAGCTAAAGGTGAAGTTCTGACGTTTTTGGATGCCCATTGTGAATGTACGGTTGGTAGGTAAGCTCTTTTTTCTGTATGTATACTAATCATTATAAAGACAAAATCATTATATGTAATTCTGATGCTTATTCTAATATTTTAGGATGGTTGGAGCCCCTACTTGAAGCGGTTGCTAAAAATAAAACCAGGGTAGTGTCCCCTGTTATCGACATAATAAACGATGATACTTTTAGCTACACTCGGTAAGTGTGTACTCTTCAATAAAAAATTTCCGATCATGATTACCCATAAGTTCATGCAATATATAACACCATAGATCTTTCGAATTGCATTGGGGAGCATTCAATTGGGACTTGCATTTTCGTTGGCTAACATTAAATGGCCGATTATTAAAAGAAAGACGAGAAAACATCGTCGAACCATTCAGAACACCTGCCATGGCTGGGGGTTTATTTTCCATGAACAGAGATTATTTCTTCGAACTAGGCAGTTACGATGATCAAATGAAAATCTGGGGTGGTGAAAATTTAGAATTGTCATTTCGAGTGTGGCAGTGTGGTGGCAGCGTTGAAATCGCTCCTTGTTCTCATGTCGGTCATCTTTTTCGAAAATCATCACCCTACACATTCCCGGGAGGTGTTGGAGAAATTCTTTATGGGAATCTTGCTAGAGTGGCTCTAGTTTGGATGGATGAATGGGCAGAATTTTACTTCAAATTTAATGCAGGTAGTTATGAATAACTTCGCAATTAGCAACTTACTTATCTGTTCGATGCATTCGTGCATGTTTTCTTTTAGAGGCGTCTAGATTAAGGCACAAGCAACCAGTACGCGCTAGGTTGGCGTTACGTAAAAGACTGCAGTGCAAAAGCTTCGAATGGTACTTAGACAACGTGTGGCCTGAACATTTTTTCCCAAAGAATGATCGTTTCTTTGGACGGGTAAATTGAAGCAGTGCCTCTCATTCTTAAAGATAGACTTACCTGTTAAACTTTTTAAAAATAAACTTCGTAAAATATATTCTAGATCGTACACGTTTCGACAAAGAAATGTATTATGCGACCAACTGCAAAAGGAACATACTCGCAACCTTCGGGATACGCTCTTCTCGAATCGTGTATTCCACGACCGGTGCTTAATCAAATGTTTGTGATGACAAAAAGTGGGATTGTAATGACGGACGAAAGTATTTGCTTAGACGCGCCTGATCGCGACACTCAGCACAAGACGCCAAGGGTTAAGATAATGGCGTGCAGTAGTCAAAGCAGGCAAAATTGGCAATACGACGAACAAGTAAGTTTATTTTATATTTGCACGTTTAATAAATGTACAATATAAATGATTTTAGTCAAGGACATTTTTACACGTATCTTCCGGAATGTGCCTACAATCGAGCGACGACGAAGGTCCTGTGATAGCAGCTTGTACAGGAAACATTGAACAGAAATGGATGCTGGAATCCGTTCCCTGGAAATAGTATCATCAATACATTTTTAACGTTCAGTGTTGTTACCGCGAGCATATTATCAAAACATATTCAGCAAAAATATAAAAAGATTGCGTGTATATTTTTCGAATCTCTCTTTATCAGAATATAGTACTTTTTTACGAAGATGCAAATATTTGATCATTTGTAAATAAATGCGTCATTATTTACAAAAAAAGCTGGTGCTCAGATGAAATTAATTTGTCCTTCACTTTAGCATAATCTCAGGCAACACATGCGTCTCGGTCATATTTTTTAGACTAATATAGACATTTCTTAAGTAGCTACGTTGTGAATTCCGGAGAAGATGCTACTCATAGTCGATGATTCATCGCGACCATAAGATTGCACGTGACGAATCATCTTTATTGTCGTCAAGGTTGCGATTAAAATTTTTGCATCTACTTTAAAAGGTAAACTCAATCAAAATGCTTCTTGGTACAAATTGTTAACCCTTTCCGAGCAGCTTATGATCATTAGTGAACCAAGTAGTTGCGCTAACTACGTCGACTTACTGTCTAATCCCTACTAGTTACACCAATCATAATTGTAGTTTTCATCTAGTCAGTGTCTAGAACGATGCACTGCCTTTTAAACGCGAGAAGAATCTATTTAAATTTAGAGATCCAAAAAGGGGATGAAAATGCACAAGAACGTTTAAATTGTATTTGAATAAAAATAATTTGAATTCTACAGTCTACAATTTGGTTGGCGTAGTTTATCGATAATCTGGGTCAAAGTCACGTCCTCGACGAGGCCAAGAAGCCACTTAACTCGAAGCGGCCTAGACTCCGTGTTGGTTCGGTATTCGATCACCTCCAGGCCAAGTTTGGCTAAGATGAGTGAGCCTTTATTTATGGATCGGTATCGTTTGACGAACAGAATAGCCACGTGAATGGTCGTCCATGAATCTTCGATGTCCGTCGAGACGAGCGCAAGTGGTCATCTTTGAAATTCACTCGACATTTAGCTAGTCTTTTTTATCGAGTTCACAAGAAAACTTGAGCACAAGTTGAAATAACAGCAATCATAATTACAGTTCTGATGAATATTCTGAAATGATATCTAATGGAAATCATATCTAAAAAAAACTTCGGAGATCATAAAGATGACGCAGATAAAACTCTTCTTTGACGATAGTCGAGGGAGGACATGGAGTGAAGATCAGAAGCGTAGAAAAATGTTTGTTGATTTTTTATTGCGTGGAAAGAACTTGTTACGAGATGGAAATCGGTTCGATTCGTTGGAAAAACTAATCACGATTTCATGTAGTCTTCTGTACAGATAAAAAAGTCGATAGCACGAAGAAATGTAATCGAAGTCAATTAATGTAAATTCAATGATTATAACTTTTATGACATATTTTATATTTATCATTCAGTACAGTTGTCAGTGAAGAGTCACCATAGCGGTTCCTTGCAATGAAAAAGAATAATTAAAATAGACTTGTTCTGGAAGTATCTCGATTCGCCGTTTGTCCACGCGGTCACGTCTTCGTCCATCGTGTTCCGGTTCTCACACGTCTATGACCCTGGTCAATCTACCGTTTCTCACATTAATTGCGGCTCCTTTTCCCGTCAAGGAAGGGGACAGAAACGTAACAGCTTCTGGAAACCGGCACATCTTCCTTAGAACCTGAAATTCCAAGATTCGCGGGTAATAGCGTTTGAGAATTGGAGCGAAACGTTGCGAAAGAAAATCTTTGTTTTTCTTTCGACATCGCCCCACGAAAGGAAGTGTCGTACAGAACTTGTCACATCGGCAGGACGACACGATTGAAAGTTATGACGTTTGCTGAGGATCGCGAAACGATGTTAATAATTTAGAGATATAGGGATAAACTGATTTTACAGCCGACTGCGTCCATGGCGGACGCGTTAAATTCAGAGAGTCAAAAACGAGTTAAGTCGTCCTTTGGAAAATACTCTTTAAGAACATGGAATAATTATCCTCGTTCAGAAAGAATTTATTTGCGATAATGGCGTTAAGTCTACGGGTTAATGAAAGGTTTTACAGTGATTGATGGTAGGAATCTAACGAGGGAGCGGAGAAAGTAACCGCAGGTATGTACAACGAGAACATCTTTCAAATAAATTATCACGCGTACGTTCTTTCGTTTGTGTATGTTTGTACGTGTACATACATATATATAATATATTTCTCAAATCGAATATTACATATGAACATATATACAGTCACCACTATTCTACAGGACGCGCGACTACGGGGGCTAAACAGAGTGGATTTACCTGTAAATACAAAAATAGGAGAGGGAATCGTTCGCGATCAAGAATCCTGCCTCTCGACGAACGAATTTCGTCCTCGCGACGAGATCTTGCGATGAACGTGTAAAGAAAAAGGAAAAAAGAAAACAATACGTCTTCTCGATAAAAAATGTTGATCTCGTAGCGACGACGATCGACGGTCCCTTCGATACGATCACGAGGCACTTGGCCCACTTGGAATTTGACTATGTAAAAGATAAAAAGAAAAAAAAAATGAATGAAAATAAGAAAGAACCCTACGGGGTCGAACTGAGCTTGATCACGGGCGCATACTTATTCGCTAGCAGTTTTACGAAAAAAAGAAAGGTAACGAGCGCATCGTAGCTTCGCCGCGTTCGTGGCTAAACAGTAAACACAATACGTATTAACTCGGTAACCTCGGTGAAATCACAATCGTGGTAAGGTTTACAATACATACATGTATATATATATTATCTGTATTTTTAATATTCATCTGCATATAGATCTCTATGTTTCTCCGTGTGTGTTCGTGTACGTATATACTATGTATAAAAATTAAATGTACTTTATACAATCCTCTTGGTACACCTCGCGCGCGCGGCTGACTATTCATTGCAAGAGGGTGAGACCCACGCGAACCTCACCTCCATTTCAATTAACTTTTAACTCGCTAAATATTCAATGATAGATTTTTCTTTTGGATATACATTTTTTCTCGAGGTACATTCTCTGTTAGAATTCAATTCAGATGTTTGAAATTATTGTCAATTATGTCATGTCAAGGTAAACCGTGTAATTATCACTTTTCTAACGGTAAATATAAACGTGGCGAATTTATAAGCACGTTCTCACAGTGTTTTAAGGATTAAAACGTGTCCTCTTCGAGCCGTTCGTGTACATGCGCTGCACGACAAACGAGACCGCGTAAGATGAGATTCTTTCTCGTTGAAATTACACGCTGTATTCGCGGGATTAGCTGCCTTTCGCGTTTTGCGCTTCGACGAGTTCGACACCTTCTACCAGTGGTGGATTTTGACTTCATTCCAGATTAAGACAAAATTCTAACAAAGTGTTTTTGACCAAAAATAATTTGTCTCTCCTCAGTGAAAATCTGCCACTGTTAAATTTATTACAAAATACAGTTCACGGAACTCGTCGATGCATGAGAAACTAATACATCCGCGACAACTTCGACTAACTAAATTGAGCCTCGTTTCGAATTCTACCAGCTATAGGTACACCTGTGTATATTATACAAGATGTTCCAAGTTTTTTCCGCCGTACACACTACCGGTATTCTCTAAAACAAAAAATGTTGAAATTCTTAACAGGAAGCACTAAACCTACATTTTTATTGCATTTTTTGCCCGTTGCTGTTCATAAAAGATATCGGTAGAATTAGGAAGAGGCAAAACCTGGAACAGACTGTACATCTCTAATATTTCTCGTAACGCTATCGCCAAATCTATACAAAGTGATTCGTGTGGCAGAAAAATTAACACGTTGATTGCCATAAAACAGTCAAACACCTTACCAACGATGTAGATTCTATTTCACGTCAAATTAAATACTGTCTGAACTCATTTTATTCTGCTAAGGTGTTGAGTCAATTAAGGGTTGATTATTATGACAATGTGTCTACTATTCAAAAGCAGTCAACGTGTTAGTTATAGTCGAAGAAAGGTAAGAACAGAGCACCACTTGGTCTTGTAAGATCTTTTTGGTCTCTCGGTTTTCGTAGCAGGCTGTCGCAATTGGAATTGTTTTCGAGCTGTCCACCAGCGACCAGTGAAATCACGCGTGCAAACTGGAACGAGATGAGATCGAAAAACGGCGTGCGGACGTGCCGCGAAATCGCGGATAGAATCGTCCCTCAGAGAAATTTCGTCTTTGTACCGAAACGATTCGAGCTGGAGTTTTTTAAACTTTTATCGAGGCTCCATCAATGCCGATCCATATCGCGTTCAGATAACCACGCGATATCGGTTTAGAAAGTAAATAGAATTTCGGTAGCTCTAAATTTATTACTCGAACGTTTCCTCCGTGTCGAAGCAAGGTACACAATCGGATCCGTTAGGCTCGGTTTCATGGTTGTACCGAGGCTCTCTCGGCTTGGCTCCTTTATTGCGTTTCACTTTCGCGATGAGCTTGCCCGTCCGATCGGGGCGTGGCAAAAGTGTAACGCAACAGAGGTCCGAGGCCATCTCGTCGACCGGGATCGCGTGTATATATGCGTGTGGCAAGAGAACCAGGGTCTCTGTTCGAGCACAAGTTGGCCGCCACAAACGAGAAGAGAGAGGAGATGTATCCGATCTATATATCGCCGTGGAGAGCTTAGTCACACCTCGCCACGTCCTCGTTGCTGCATCGATCTCCTTACGAAATCGGTTAACTCTCTTAAAATGGATTTCGTGGACCGATTGATTCCACTGATCGGCGATGCACATGTTGATGCACCTCGAATCGATGACCAACCGTCTGCGCAGCTTCTTGTCGCGGTTTCCTTTCGTTTATGCGGTTGCGGTCGACTGTATGAAATAAATTTGAATGTTTCGTCTCCATTATCCGGGTGTGTTTCACTCCTTTCATTGCAACGACGGACGAGATACCGTAGATCGATCGGCTGATTTGAAACATTGTATCGGGAATCGCATTACGGATCTTGCGTTGCTCTTTTTCTTTCACATTATGGAGTATTTTCCTCGTACACTGTAGAGGGTTATCTAGTTGTATTTATCAGTTGTAGTTATTCTGGTTGTAGTTATCAAAGTTGTATTTTGGTACACAAACAAGTAGTATGAGTACAAGTAGTAGTACAAGTAGTATCTCCTTTCAGCAGTTTCAGAAAGTACAAATGCACGAATTCTTAAATTCCGAAATAACGAAATTTCCAGCTTTCTACGATTCCGAAGTTTGAGATCGGGTTCCCGTATAATTTATCGGAGCATTCCAGGCTAGAAAGCGCAAACCGTTTCTCACGCGTGGATCATCGTTGAATGGGACTCCTTGGGAACGAAGACGGCCAGCCCTAACCACCGATGGTTGAACGCGTTTACCAAGGTCAAGAGGATCTCCCTCGTGGCCTGGGCGCAAACAGCGTCCGCGTGCACCTGCGCTACTTGCAGTGAATGTACAAGGTAGAAAGTACCGATAAATTGCCACCTAATATCGCGACGTCGCTGTACGATAGGATAGGTTTCGTTACGCTCCTTGATCTCCTACATTCTTTACCCATAGACAACTTTTGATTGGCCATTTTTTCGCACGGTGTCTGATAAAGATCTTTTAAAAAATAACTTTATTTAATTCGATATAGACAAGTTCATTCTTTGGTACAACGATTTCACTTTCCCTGATCAATTTCATCGAATAGCATCGGATAACAACGTCTTCTCGAATTTTGCTGACTGTCTTCTTCGTTCTGAATACTTCGCACGACTATTCCGAGGCTACGTAATCACCCGGTAGTGTATTTTGAAGTATCGATATAAGTTTCACTTTTGTTGGTCAATGTCATCGAGCATCGGTTGCGTAGTTCTATTTCTAAATTTCGTAGACTATTTTCTACCTTGGAACTTTGAAACCTTGGGGTATGTAGCTGTTCATAGAGCACGTAATCATCCAGTATCAATTTTCGAGCCGTTCGAACCATCGATCGATGTTCCTGTCGATACGATCTAGATCGGGTATAATTAATCGAAGTGAGCCACTTACGTTCAAGGTCGAAGTAACTCTCGTTCGCGTCGATGTTAGTTAGTAGCTTACCGATTAGAAAGTACCGGTGAATTCGCAAGAGCGGAAGGCGATTAGATCGTTTCGCCCCGGGTAGAGTTTTCAGCGATCGTCCGCAGGAAATGAGAAGGGTATATCGTCGACGTGTGGGATCTTGCTGATGACGCCTTTCGTTCGCTTCTTTTTGCTAATCATCATCGGCAGGAAACACGCCACTTTTCCGTGTCAAGCATTATTGATTCTGCGTGCAACGCGTTTCCCATGTACTCGCTACCATTTACATTCGTTTTCCTCGATTCTGTACTTTCATTTCTACATTTTTCCATCTTCCGTCAGCTGTGCCTTTCAATTTTAGAAAATCTAATTGCCGATCCGTGAAAATTGCTCTAGACACCTTAGGTTACATCGCGGAGCTCCTTGTGCCACTTTTTCAAGGTGTCAAGCACCATTTACCGTTCGAAACGTGTCGGTCGATTTCGATCGTCTCAACATCGGAGTACAAATAAATAGAAACGATATCTCCTTCGCTATTTCATAGCCCGTGAAAATGGCCCCGAACTCTCAAGGCGCGTTGTCGGTTTCCTCAATGAAGAACTTAATGATTCGTGTCTGAACCGTCGAATTTCCTGTTCCCCTTGTCCGAGGACAATTCCTGGACCTATTGACCGTCGATCGACAGCCGCACAGATCCGCCCACCGATTTCTATTTTATTATCCATCATTGGCGGTTCGCCGATCGGCGCTGCGGATTATCTCCGAGGCGATGGAGTGGTTGAAATTCGCTTTCTAGATCGTAAAATCGAGAAGCATCGTTTTCAATGGTTCTTTACCGCTGGAACGAATCGGACTGGATTCGATCGGTCTTTTCCTTCCGATGTTTTTTTTCTCGCCCGTTTCTTTTCCTCGTACCGCCTGTCGATCTTACGTTCCAGCAGCAAACGCGATTGAATAACACGTTCTTCGCTAAAATAGTTTCGTTCGTGAAAAATTTATTATCGACAGCCTGCGAATTTATCTACCACACGGAATTAATAGCTGGATTATAGGAGATGTCGGAGGAAAGGGTCTTATAGTAAAAAATCTCTCGAATTTGAGTACTCGAAAATTTCGAATAATTCGTCTATTCCAATATTCGAATACTCAAATAATTATTCGGATGATTCGAACTTTCGTAACAGCCCGATCTTAGACCCTCGTTTTGAATCACCCTGTATCTTTCCCTTACTTATCGATCGACAAACGGCGATGGTAACGCGTTCACGTATAAAAGTAACTAAAATATCGGCACTTAAATCGAGTTTCGTTCTCCATCCGATCTTCGATCGAATTTCCTTCGAGAACATTCTAGGCACGTACACTAAGGCACCCGGTTTCTAATTCGCTAAATCCTAGTTTCAAGATGCGAAAATCGCATAGAACGACAAGATCTACCGTATAAAAATAACTCTGTCCGTTGGAGGAGGAAAAAAAGAAAAATGGTAGCACGTTCACGAGCATTTCGTTTCATAGAAACTCCAAAGAACCCTGGAACATCGATTTCCTCGACTCAAGTGTTATTCCCAGGCGACATAGGCGGAGAGTTAACTTCTCTCTGTTCCTCTTGAACACTCTCTGGTCTGCTGGTGGTGCTGCTCGACCTCGAACTCAGGTTGTCTCTGTCGCTGAAGTAAGAAGAGTCGCCCCTCTTCTCCTCCAGCTGAAGTTGCTGTTTGTCGTTCCTGAACTCGTCTCCTCCGTGTCCCAGCAACCCGGGGAAGTAAGGTATCCCTTGTCTCTGCGAGGTGATCTTGCCCATGAAACTGCGAATCTCTTCGAAATAGGATTCGTCCGCCCTCGGCAGTTGACCGTGGTACCTGGACCTAACCTCGTCCAGTATCGTAGGACCGTCCGCGTCGTGTTTCTTCAAATGTCTGTCCAAATTGGTCTGCTGACCGAAACACCGTTCGCACAAGGGACACTTGAACGGTTTCTCCTTGTTGTGGATGTTCCGGACGTGGCGTTGCAGGTTGCTGGAGATGCTGAAGCTCCTCTCGCAGTATTTACACTTATAAGGTTGTTCGCCGGTATGCGTCCTCAAATGTCGGGTCAAATTGGCGGATCTGGGGAAAACCTTGCCACAGAATTTGCACGAGTATCTGTCTTTAGGTTTGAGACCAGCTTGGACGCTGATGGAGTACGGTGGAAGACTGGAGGCTGGTTGTTGTTGCTGTTGCTGTTGGCTCGAATGACTCTGTTGCTGCTGCGGATGCTGTTGGCCGGCGGAAGGGCTGGGTATTCTGGGGATGGCTTGCGACGAAGAGGGCGACGTGGAGGAGGTGGTGGACGGGAATCTGTTCGGTGGTAGAGGTACCATCGTGGGCAGAGCTCGAACTTGGATCTTCGGCAGGTCAGGAACGGTCGAGCTATGGTGATGCGATCGGTACATGGCTTCGAGGACCAACGGATGGACGGCATGATGTTGGGGGAACAGCACCGTGTGGTAAGGAATACTGTTACCCAGACTGTTCTGATTCAGGACCTCTATCTCGTTTTGGTTCTCGTCCGTGAGCCTCTCCTTCTTGTGATCCACGCGCAGATCCAACGGCTCGCAGTCGAGATCGTCCTGATGGTGGGTCTGTGGCGGCCTGGCCGCAGGACTCATGTGGGGTTGTTGCTGATGTTGCTGCTGGTTGGAGGGACTCGACAGGCCTCGACCGTGGCCGTGGCTCAAGTCGTACGGTAATTCTTCGACGTCCGGCACGCGAACGCTCAGCGGGTAAATGCTGGCCTGTTTGGGGCTGATGTGGCCCGGCATTTTTCTCGGACTCGAGTCCTTCTCCCGCATGGCTGGAGGATACTTCGGGTCGTGCAACAACGTTGGGGGCAGGGTGATGTTACCGAGATATCCGCTCATCACACCGCCTCTGTCACCCTTGGCCTTGCTCCTGCTCGTCGCACGGGAAGATCTGAAACGAGAATATCGAGTGGCGCGATAATAATCACCGTTTCAACTTTGGTAGCCGCTAATGGATAATTCAACAGACTTCGTAAACGATTTCTACTGATACGCCCGAGACTTAACGATCGGGTGAAACCAGATTCGAAAAATTATTAATGCCGGGCAGTGCGAACCGAATGTTCTTTAGCCGCAGGCGATGATTTAGACGCCGTAGAAATTGATCACCCGCATTGATTCGAAATTGACTGCTCGCATTTTTACGCCGTGGCGTCAGACACGGTGTCGAAACATACCAATAGCGAGCACGTGGTCGAATTTATAATGTCACTTGTTTTCAAGGGTACCAGCGCATCGAACGTTAAAACATAATAGCCCGAATGAATGAATTATACGATATTTTAATCTCGTTCTTACCGAATTTGATTTCTTCGACAAAATTGCTTGCACGGCGGAGCGCGTCGAAACTGGTTCGTTAAAAAAAACCATAAACGCGAGTGCGTGAAAGTAATTTCTTTTGAAAGGATTATAATTCGAAAAGTAACCGAAAAGGGGAACAGCGATTGGTGGAAAGTACGAGATATGTATTAATAATACAGCGTGGAGACAAGTCGTCTCATTAATGCTCTCTTATCCGGCGTTGAAATCTCCAGGGCGAAGTGCTGCTAATGCGTGCGTTGAAATCTCCATCGGCGCGTGACATCGATGCGACGCGATTCGTCGAATTCGCTCGATTTCGCGCGTACCTCGAACACGAGGTGGGAATTTCTTGATAAAGGAAGCTCCGGCCAATTCGAGAAATCGTGGAATCCTTTCACAGCCGGTGTCGTTTTCACGCGACTCGATCCAGTTACCGAACAAGCTAATCCTCAGCTGGTTGTCCAGTTCCGATGAAAGAGAAATCCATTCGCGACAGGAATAGTAAGAGGAAGAGAGGAAGGGGGAAAAGAGAGGAGCCACGGAGGAGCAAGAACCCCGTTCCAGCGTAAAAGGAACTGAAACAAAAAGCTCGTCCCGACCGACAATAGTGAAAAGCGTTAATTACGAGAATGCAGAGGAGAATGCTCGAAGAGAATCGAAAGTGTATCTTTACTTTGTTGGTAATTTTGCCGGGGTAGAAGTATAACGCGCGACGAGGAGACGCTGCGCGTGAAATTAACTGTAAAGGTGGTAATACGCGAAGAGTTTACCGTATCAGCGATATATTATGGATTCCTATGGAAATTCAAGTATCGTCTAATACCAGTAATTTTACGATAATTAGGTATAAGAGAATTGCTAATAATAGGGTGATGGATTTCTATGGAAATTAAAGCGTCACCCACGTATGGGGCGTCGAGCGATCGTCTCGCGTAAAAAGGAAGATAAGAGGCAGTTTCCAACCTGCATAATAATACCGAGGCGATTAGTCTAAGAATTTCGCTGTCGTTGATGGACATCGAGAAAGGTATCAATTTGGAATCCGTAACAACAGAAGATGGACGTTTCGCTCCTTTTGCATCGATGAAAGCGATGGGACACCGTTGTCATCTGTCTAGATGTGCTCGCTTTAAGTTCGATTTACATATCGTACTTTCCCTTGTTCCCCTTCGATGGTTCGTATCGAGGAGAAACTCGCGTGTGCTAATCAGATTTTTCAGGCCGAACAACGCAACCTTCCCGAGCAAATCTTTTCGGTTCGATTTAACGAGCTGACCAGCTCGATCGAAGAAGACAGCTCTCTGTACGGATTTCCGGTAACACGATCGCGGACGGTATTATTCTCAGAATTTCGTTTCGAGAGGTTTTATCTCCCGAAAGGTGGAGTTTCTCCGAACGGCTGGGTGAGTAATGTCCTCGGGAAACGGTAGCCGGCTCCTTGGAACGTCGGATGAAATAAGAAGAAGGAAACGCAGAGCACACGATCCTTAAAGACTGACATCTGTTACGTGAATCAAGCTCGAACGACGTCGCTCGAGATCGGCCGAGATCCACGGCTGCCAGCCACGATCCAGTTTTCGGTTTCTAGAAAGTCGGGATGAGTCTCGGGCGTGGTTTGTCTCTTTTTCCTTCTCCTTTTTTCCCCTTACGCTCTCTTTCTCTTTCACCCTCCACCTCTCTCGCTCTGTCGTCCTTGCCGGTATGATTTCTCTCCCGACATTCACCTACGTGTACCATAAGTGCTCCATCAGGAACGCATCGACGTACGCGAAATTTTACCGATCTTTCCATAACTTCTTCGCATTACATTGAAAATAATGCAAATATTATAATTTAGTCGTAAATTTATTTTCTCAGAATTATGTTTCGACCGAATTCAAGCATTCAAATGATCACATCTTTCGTATATTGGAAAATGAATATTCAAGTTGGTAAAATTATGTTTAAAGAATGGCACGACGATTCATCGACCAGGAGTTTATTAGATTATACGAAGTTGAAGATATTACACACTGGTGATTGTTACGGCAGTCAACGCGTTGACAGGAATTAGTGATAAAATTTGCGTTTCTGTATTTGAAATTTCGTGCTACGTAAAAGCTCGAGAGGCTCGTAGAAATCGATGACTACGTGCGTCCCTGTGTCGTGGTAAACACCGTTCGTGTAATTCCATAACCATCGCCACTTGTTACCCGAACAGGTCGCGTCCCTGGCCGGTTTGTCAGGTACAGGGAAGACTTCGATCGTTTCTTTTTCGTGTGACGCAATCGTTTCTTTTTTTTTGATCTGCGAGAAGGTGTAACGCGAAGGTGTGTCCTCCTGGTAATCGCGCGAAATATTCAAATCCGACGCTTAACGAGCCATTTTATTGTTCGCCCTCGGAGGCGCAGCTATTATCTCGTGATTGCGACTCGCACGATCATCCTCTTTGCGCAATTAACTCGGGCGCGTGCCACTTTTCTTCGACGAATATGCATTGTCGGTCAAATGACTGCCATTGCATTTTGCAACGGTATATGTTAGCGAGACGAGTCAAGAAATTTGTGATCAACTAGAACGATAGGTTCTATTCTATTACGAGCCGCTATTTATTGGCTAACTATTTTGTTATTTTGACGATGAACACATCGGATAAGAATTTCGCGAACAAGTTTTCGTCTACCGGTGTGTAACTATACATATAATAAAAGATGGGTTAAACTTGTCTCTCCCTCCGGTTGTACGATCTTGATCCTCCGTGGCAACCTGTCTTTCGTTTCTCCGTGTTCGCGAGAACAGACACGGTCGAAAAAGAAAAAGAAGAATGCAGGCTTCCTCGTTGCACTGGTCTCCGTATGAAGCACGATCGTTGCTGCCGATAACGGGGCCAAGAGGTGCCGGCATTTAATTACGACTCGCGCCGCTTTAAGCACCGCTGTGTCGGAGATTGAAACTCGTTGCTGAATTCATACGACTCGCGCGACACGGAAATATTGCTCCACGTGTGCGACGAACAACCACGCGAATTTTCGGTGTCTTGTCATCGCTATAATTACTTCGATACTTTGGTAATATCGTAATTAGCTTGCGGACGCGCGGGAAACTGCGAATGCAGCTGCTCGACAGATCGAAAGGAACGATAAGCGCGAGGAAATTTCGATAATTCTTAGACATTCTCGAGGAAGGTAATTTATAAATTTCCATACATTCGTATAAACGTCCAGTATTTCGTAAACTGACTGACCCCTTAACAACTGGTATCGAGGACTGATGTAGCGCGTGTAGTTTATCGTGGCAATCGATGGTGTCGAGGATGAAAATAAGAGAACGATGCGTGTTATAGATCGTTTGAAAAAAAGGTTCACAAGGTAATGGACAACAATAAACAATGGCCGGGAAGGGTCGGTGAAAGGTGGTAAAGCGGTAGAACGCGGTGTAGTTCGGTTCCTGTGCCGCTTAATCGTTTTCAATGTTACTTTCATTCGGCCTGACGTCCGACATCGTTCATTATTCATCGAGCTTCTTATTTAGCGATGCTTGCATCGGCCAGTGTCTGTTCTGGCAGAATTAATTTGTCGACAAGGTTTCGTCTTGCCAGGTACGCGGCACGCGTGCATCCGCCGATAATCCGACGATTATTATTTATGATTTCGCCTCCGCGACATAAAAGCTTCGCGAAACGTTCGATTCGTTGCACCCACGCAACCTTGCGATCGTATTTCGGAGAAAGGAGAGAGAAAGGGAAACCAGCGGAACGATGTATCCTTAATGCAACAACTCGAGCACCGTCGTTTCTTCTTTTCCGTGAAATGCTAATTACTCACTGTTCACCCACGGATCTTAAATTGATGGATGACAGACGGTTGGAATAAATAAGTCGAGACTAATCCGCGAACAAATTGGCCTAAGCCGAGAAAGTGTGAACTCCGCAGTAGAAGCTGTCTGGTTAGACGCGACCATGGAGCTTCCACTTTATGGTTGTTTAAGCGTGCACACGAGCTGCTTCTTCTATTGCAACCATGTGTCTTTTTGCTTCTTCAATCAAAGGTAACAAAAACAAACATATGTGATCATAAGAAAATCGCACGGAAAATAGTCACTCATGTGCATCGGGACTCACAGTTTGTTAAACGAACAAGTAGGTTAAATGTTACAATATTTATTTAGATCAAAAGCGCTACATATACTACAATTCTTGCAAAAATCATAAATTACCCATTATCCGATAAAACGTAAAGTGTGAAGATTAGTATCAGTCATTAAACCTTGTAATTCGGGTTGTAAAATATTTAATGCAGCGTTTACGTCGACGTTAAAACTGTCGAAGGAAAGGAAAAGTGATTTTTTCCTTTTATTGTTCCACTTCCTTGAAAACGCGAGTCGTAACGCGCTTCACTAACCTGATCGGCCAACGAGCCGATCTCTTCGTTTGGATCGCGACGAACAAATTAAGAAGGTTCGCAGTTGGTTTCCGGTACTTTTACGGACACTGTGACCCTAATAGGCGTTTGCCAATTAGGATCGAAGGAAGACAATGCTGGCCGCAATTCTTTCAAGGAAGCATCATCCGTGATTCCTCCCGAGACCTCCGCTCGATAATGATATTTTCTT